ATATATCAAAGCTCCTCAGTTGAAAACACTACAATTATAGAAAAGACTTTTAAATACCTCTTTCCTCAGTAAGTCTTCAGTCCTAAGAACTCTAAGCTGTAACTTTTAATAAGGTCATGTACACAGAATACTACTATTTAAATAAAAATGTTTGAGCTGTAAGCAGAAAGCCTGTGGATGTTGGATGTTGATTTTTGGTCTCTATTTCAGAGGATGAGGAGGAGAACGAGGAAGTTTTACTCAAGCAGCTCCTAAAACTGTCAACCTGCTGACTGAGAACATTTGGATATACTGTAGTAAACTTTGTATACATATACTTGTAAAATTAAATTTCAATTTCCATTTAGCCCCCTCCACCACTCATGAGAGGTCACCACACCACCACGGTTAAAACAAGTCTTAGGGGAAACTCTGATTGTTATATGACATTAAAATTCATTATAAATAATATTATTTATTGTAATAAAAATGAAAAAAWTCTGACTCTAAAAGCTTCAGCAGCATGAATGTTGTCTTCAGGTGGGACACCCTACTGGACAGGTCTTTAAGGGCTGACTAAGATCAACACATTTCTTGGAGGTTGGACACAGCAGACAGTAACAACACAATCCTATGAAGAAAACACTTAATGACAACAACAACAAATGCAAATTTCTGTCTGCCCCACCACATATGCATTCCTGGAACTGGCCCTGGTTCTGCTCTGTATTTACTGTACCTCGTCTGCAGGCTTCATGCAAAGCTGAAGGGAAATGTGTGTGACGTGCACGGACGTGTGCTCCGCTCTGCAGCAGCAGGTCCAGACAACCAACACTCCCCGAGGCGCAGCAGTTGAACAAAGGAGTGACGCCATCAATGGTGGCAGCGTTCACCTGCAGACAAACGTCCACATGAGCACGTTGTCCTTGTGTTCTTATAAAACAACTGTTTAATGTGCCTCAAAAACACTTACATTAGCTCCAACAGCTAACAACGCTCTGACACAAGCTAAGTGTCCTGACAGGCAGGCTTCATGGAGAGGTGTCACRTGATCCATGGTGACGGTGTTAGCATGATAGCCCTGCAAAAAAAAGATGCATACAGTATGATATAAAACCTATAAAAACTGTTTCCACTCATGCAAATGTGTATCAACTCATAAATATATTTACTATTGTTTAGCATGAAAGTACACACATGGAAACGCTGAATATCACTGGACTACGGGCAGTTTTAGGACAATAATCTCTGGTTTGGACCTGAGGCTGAGTGTCGCTCTTTTAGTGCAATTCAGTTCAATAGAATCCTTTTTTTACAAARTCAGAATGTGATGTAAAATGTAATACAATAAATAATGCAATGATAATCTTACATTTTCGTTAA